TCCCTCTTCTTCAATGTTCCTGAGCCATAGGTGAAGGAGCTGTGATGTAGATGTATCCATGGGGCTGGCCTCCCCATGCTCTGTTGATCTCTGCTTTTGTGTCTGGTTGTGGTGTTCTGTGATGGTCTCCATTTGCTGTAGAGGCCTCTTTGGTGAGGGCAGGCACTGCACTTATCTAGGACAGGTGGGCTGAGCACCTACTTTTCATTTTTGAGACAGTGTATCATCATGTTGTCCAGGCTAGCCTTGAACTTGGAATCCTCAACCTCTTGCACTACCACTTTTGGCTCAATCATCTTTTTTTTTCTTTAATCTTTTAGCTTCTGGTTGTTACATTCAAAGAAACTCTCCCCTTATTTTTCTTTGTAGAAATCTTTACTAATAACTTTAAAGCATTTCTATAGTCCTAGATTTCAAACTGCCCTAGCTAATCCCCAAGACAAGATTCATTCACAAAATGTCTGACCTGACATCCTCCTGTGCCAGTCTTGGCTCTGCAGGTGGCTGGATGCCGCTCCTCATCATGTGGGGGCACACCGCTCTCTAGTGGGCCGTGTGTGTCAGTGCACCGAGGCTCCTGGAGGAGAGCCCGCCGGGTCTCAGGTTCTGGGGACCCTTCAGGGAACTGAGCTAACAGATGCTACCTTTAGTTAAGACAAAGTAGAAAAACCAGGAGCTTGATTCTGGACACAACACAGCTGAGTAGGCCAGGCCCCCAGGAACAGCCCTGTGGGCCCAAAGCACAGTGCAAAAGATCCCTCCCTTGAGATGGCACCAAGTGATGGGCGCAGCTGGGACCTGTCATGCTAAAGTGACACCACCCTTTTTATTATTGTTGTCACACACCTGTCTAGGGCCTCTCTCCAGACTCCCAGGATGGCTCCCCCAAGATAGGCAGGCTCAGCCTCAGAGCTGGGGGTGTTTGATGGTTGAATTCTTCAGCGATCACTACAAATATCCGCAGAGGCCTTAATAAGAAGCATTCCTGGAGGCAGAGGCAGGAGGATCTCTGTGAGTTGGAGGCCAGCCTGGTCTACAGAGCGAGTTCCAGGACAGGTACCAAAACTACACAGAGAAACCCTGTCTCGAAAAAAACAACAACAACAAAAAGCCTTCCTGGGTCTTTGTTAATTTTTTTCTTTTTTATGCCTTCTCTATTCCAGGACTTGTACTGGCCACAGGGTTTGGGGTCCATCTGGGAAACTATCACAAATACCCAGTTAGAACAGATTCACATGCACAGTGGTCTCTGGACATCTTGATGAGGCCCCTCAGAGCAGAGATGACAAAGTTGGAATTCAATCTTGTGGGACAAGTTGTGTCCTCTGGATAAACACAATGGAGGGGCATCCTGTTTCCTTAATAAAATGCCTGGACAAAAGCAACTTAGGGAAAGATGGGTTTATTTGGCTCACAGTTCAAGTCCATCATGCTGGGAAAGCAGGCCCCTGAGCAGCTGGTTACTGCATCTGCAGTCAAGAACCAGAAAGAGATGAATGAACGTGTTTAGCTAGCTCTCCCTTGTGTGTGTGCTCCAGGACTGTGGTGGTTTGAATGACAATGGGCCCCATAGACTCACAGATTGGAATGCTTGGTCCCCATTTGGTAGAACTATCTGGGGAAGGATTAGGAAGTGTGGCCTTGTTGGAGAAGGCGAGTCACTGAGGGTGGGCTTGGGGGTCTCCCTCTCTCCCCACCTCCTCTCTGCCAGTTGTCATCTCAACAAGTAAGCTCTCAGCTACTGCTCCAGTGCCAACCCTGCCTGCCTGCTACCCTGCTCCCTGCCACCAGGACAATGAACTCACCTTCTGAAACTGTGAGCAAGCCCCCAGCTTAACTCCTTTCTTTAATGGGTTGTCTTGGTCACGGTGTCTCTTCCCAGCAATAGAACAGCGACTAAGCAAGGACTC